ACAGAAATTCCAAAATAAAATAATTATATTTAATATGATGTACAATATATCAAAAATCACATTAATTTTGTAATCTACGTTAACGATTCGATGGTTAATACTGATATGGTATCGTATCGTATCGAAATTCTTGTCCCTAGCTACCTTAATACACACAATAAATAAAGTAATTCTAAGGTCAAAGATTTCAGGGAATGAGCTAGCCAGGAAAGGTCCCGATCTTCCACTACGAGAAAACATAGGAAAAATTGGGATACCCTTGGCAACCTGCCAATTGAGAATTGGAAATAACATTAGTCAAGAGGCCAGTTGGTCATAGATGGATAAGGGCACAGGCTAATATGGCCGCAAATTGATAAGAAACAAAAAAAAACTGAAGAACTGCTCAGCCTCTTAAGAGAAGACGTTTCGTAGGTCACAGCTTGTGTAACCACCGGTCATTAGCTCTTGGCTATGCACTCATCGATGTCAGGAGGTAAGAGTTATTATCCCATTAATATTTCTGAACTTACAGAGGTTTGGAAGAAACAGTCCAGGACTTCTTCTGCAGTTAGCTAAGAGCAGAGCAGGCTTTTTAGGTAAACACTTCTTTAGGTCTCTTACGGAACTATCCGGTGTAGAAATAAACCAATACTATGCTTCAAAATGGTTCTATGGAAAATAGTCTCTAAGCTTGCCTGTGTACAGTGGAATGACAATGCACCTACAAGGTCTAAGTAACTTGGTCATGGGAATCGATTGCCACATTAACCTACCCTAAGCTAGGTGTTGCTCGGACCAGGAATCGAATCTTGCTTCCACCAAGTGGAAGTGCTCACCTCAAACCATAAGACTACGGCAACCGTCGCGACGCGTCATACCTTTTAATCTACTAAAATGTTTATTGACTTTCTACAGCTGGGTAACGTCGCATCTTCGTGAATGCTTCGAAAAGCTTGTTTAATTCACACATATACACTTATATAAATTTGTTTGTGTTTATAACTACGTATACTTAAATATGGGCAGAAGTGTAATTGCTCATGGGTGCGCATTTGTGGTTTCAAAGGGAATTGCTTGGACACAAATTAAATTACGCGGAAGTGGCGTAAATTTACTTAATTAGTAGCGTAATTAATTGTCCGTCTAAGTGGCTAGTGGGAAGTACATTATGTTGAACGAGCTTGAAGTGGTGATACTTGAAGTACAATTTTGTGCAATGGATTAGGTAAGTAATTTATTAGTTTGTTGGGGGTTAGTCTGGTCAGGATACGCGTCATTATTTTAGCATGATCATTTTTAAAAACTTCTGGGGTACATATGTAACTAACGGGCAATGCAAATGGAAACTGTGTTGAATATATGTAAACCCTTGTCTGCAGCTGTCTGTTTTAAACCATAAGAACTCTCATCATCTACAGAAAAATACCTTTCTAATGGTGTTCTTGGTTTCGAAATCGGTAACAAAGATTATGTTAGCAATACAAGTGTTTTCAATATATCACTTTGAGTTTAAGCGAAACGGCTCATCTGCCATAAAATAATGGTGATTTCGTATCTACCAAAAAATTTTGCCTTTTGATTGCCCTATTCTCATTTCGTGTTCGATTCTTAATCAAATGCATTTCTTAAAATGTCACGCTTTAGTAAGGCAAAAAAGGCACATTCCCTGCCCTGTGAAGCTTTTTTGAAGAAACGAAATCACAATAAAATAAATCATCGATAACCGCGGCATTAAATTTTTGCTCGATACGCCGCCACATAGAAAAGTCGAATTATGCCCCAGAAGCAAATTTCAAACTTGTGCGAGAGAAAATTTTACTTCCGCTTGAATTTTTGCAACACGTTATTTTAACAAAATTTATTGGTATTTTAATTCCACACATGCACCAAGCTAGGAAATTATATTTACATGAACTGATTTATTTTACTCTAGTACAATTACATTTAACAAGTAATAATATTAATAACAGAACGTGCCATAGGCATTTTTCACAAGCGTATGTCGATATTTTGGTATTTACATTTCAATTCACACAAACACATATATTTACATACATACATATGTATGTGGATCTAGAAATATTCGTTTTCGAGCTGCACGTATTCGTAAATTATATTTTCTTGATACCGCATTGGTAACTGATATTCAAAGTATGTTGTTTTTGTTTTTGTTTCCATTTTAAATTCTCTGTATCGAATACAATAGAGCGATACCTACATATATCTGCACATCTAGTATCGGAATCACCTAAAGCAATTCTAACAGAATTTTAATTACAATTTCGATGCGGTGTACAATTCAATAATAAAATGATTGCTGACTGTGGAGTAGCGCACATGTCTGCTTATGTACATAGCACCACATACATATTTACATACATACATATCGACAATGCCATGCAAATACCGACTGCCTTGCTTTGCATATGTACTTTGTTACAACGTTTGTTAGTTCATTCGTTTGTTTTTTTTTTTGGTTTGTTTATTCCTATTTTTCACCAATAAAGTTTTAATTAAATATTTTGCACAAAACCAAACCATTTCGAACATTTGTGCTAGTGATCGCTTCGGTTGCTGTCCTCATGGCAGTTGTGGTCCGTTGTGACTCGTTTTGAAGCAAAAACCGTGGGAATTTCGGAGTACCAATGTTCCATTCCTTTATTTATGCATTACACTTATTTGCAAAAAATTGCAGTTTGTCGCAAATCGGCAATCGGAAGCTTTTCTTCGTATCTATTCCATATCTACTAAATAAGTTTTCGCAAAGTTCCTTTACCAACAATTTTCTCTGTGAGCTTCGCACATAACGTTAGGGATCGATCAGTGCCAAATCGCGCCTTGCTACAGCTGCCCAATCCCTTATAGTGTGGAAGATTTCCTTTTCTGTGGCAAAATATTTTATCTCGAAACCGAGAACAGGTGGCGAAATAATTTAACGCTTTTTAAAGATTTTGGCATGGAGATTTTACGAAACATAGTTTTGTTCGATAAAAAAGGTAACCTTTATCTTTCAAATGACCTTCAAAAAAAGTGCAGTTTTAATTTTTTTTTGACTAGAAAACGGTATCCAATAAAACTTTCAATCCTAGTTCTAGACACATGTTTTTGCACTACATAATTGCTTGAAGCACTCATTTCCAGGCAAAAATCGTAGAAGACATCTTGAGTTTATTTTAGAAAGTGTATCACTTGCTATTTTTAGATAAAAAAAACTAAAATTTTTTTTTAAGGTCTTATTGAATAAAAAACTTTCTTGACCGGAAATACGACCTTCAAAAGAAGATTTTTGAATTGTTTCCTTTTTTGATGTAATGGGCTTTAAAAAATATTTTTACAGTGGATTTTTCGGTACTTTTGACCATGAAAATGGTTGCCCTAATGCAAGAACAGTAAAAATATTTGTTTAAAATTTGTTTTCTGTCGAAGAAGAAAAACAAATTAAATTTCTCTAGTTTTGAAAATCAATTTTAAAGGTCAAGTAATTTTTTTCATTCTATAAGGCTATTTTTGCTGAATTTTTCATCTCAACGTCTTTAAACTACTGTTAAACTTATTTCGATAGCTGCACTCATTCTCGACATATTTGATTTTATCACAAAAAAATAAATAAATAAGCCTGGGCCACACTGGAGAAGTGAAACTTACTCTAGATAATGTGAGGTACGATGACGTGATAAAATGCTATGTGATGTGATGTCAGGTCATGCGATGAAATGTGATGTGATTTCATGTGATGTGATGTGATAGGATGTCATGTCATGCCAAATGATGTCATATCATGTGATGTTGTCGTATAATGTATCGATACAAAATCGATAGTAACATCGATAACAAAACCGATAAAATTATCGATAACGAATTCGATAAAAAATACCGATAGCAACATCGTTAACAATGCCAATAGCAAAATTAATAAAAATATTGATAAAAAATCGATAACGAAATCGAACAAAATATCGATAACAAAATCTATAAAAAATATCTATATCCAAATCGATAAAATTATCGATACCCAAATCAATAAAAAAGTAGTTAAAAAATATCGATTAATATATGGATAACTCCCGAGAATACCGATAATCCCGAAGTAGTTCCCAGGTTGGGTCTCTGTGTCTCTATCTATATCCTTTTCTTTCTTTTAATCTTTCTTCCTCTATCTTCATTTTTACTTTTATCATATCTTTACATATCTTTTTTTTACTTCTACCTTTGCCTTTATCCTTTTATTTATCTATTTACGTACTCATTTATACTATCATTCTTGTATTGGTCTTTATCTATGTCGTTTTGTTAAATTAATTCCATTTGCATACATTTAAGAAGCACTTGATTCCATCCCAACCATTTCCGTGTGCAATTTCAACTCAAAAACAATTGATTTTCCACACGGTGTGCCAGCCATGTGCTATCAGGCAAAGGGGTAGCCCGAACTAACGCTTCTCGTTTTTTTGTCAGAGTTGTATGTACCCCATTTACTGTTTTTTTATTGTTTCTCTTAGGATATGGTGAGATGAGTTTGCTTTCAGGTGACAGTTTCGATTACGAGTGCAGCTGGTGACATCGCAGCTACCCGTATTACCGTACTACCCGCTTTATGTGTATGTGTGTGCATTTGCTATATATGTATGTATGTAATTTAATTTCCCGCTGGTTATGCTTTAATTTATTGTTTTATCCTTTCGTACTAGTCGTACATCTCGTAGTAAGTACAGAGCTCAGGTGGATTCTTTGACAGCAGCAGTTCACATGTACATATGCGTGTGAGACAAAGATGGGCGGAAAGGATTTGTATAGACGACATATTTAATTAAAAAGAGTTATAAGAGTTTATTTTTAATACAATAGTTTTCGTATGATTTGAGAGATTTACCAGTTCTTAAGTCACAAAAAGAATTGTAATATCTTTGGAAATATCTTTATTTTTAAACATTTCAAATTTTTCTTAAACTAATGAAGTGAACAACATATCTCAAAACCATTCCCGCTTGCCCAGGTATCACACTATGCAATCTTCCATTTTAACCATTTCCATTATTGCGCCTTCGATTTCTTCTTCTGATTTGTCGTTGTTCTTTCTTCCTATTGGCGGCTGCCCTTTTCCTGTGACGGCGCCTTGCCCTCCTTCTTGCAGCCAGATAACGTCTCCTAAATCGAGCGTTTCTTCTCCTTCGCGACGAGCTGCTGGAGTTAGAGGAAGTACTCGCAGAAGTTGAACTAGAGGAACTTGTCGGAGCCACAGTCGTTGTATTTGAAGTTGTAGTACTGGTAGTACTATTAGTACTGGAAGTACTATTAGTACTGCTAGATTGTGAATCTACCGAGAGCACATGTATGGCCAGTATAGTGGCGATAGCGACGAAAATTAAAGTAATTGGTTTCATCCTTCTGTTCTTTTCTTAAAATGAAGTCATTCCAAAAGACGCGAAGCTTTGACTGTGGTTTCATAGAAAAACGTAACCATATTTATACATAGTTTTTTGAAGTTAAAAGTTGTTGATTATTTATGACAAGAAACTAATTTCAAGTTTATTTATGTTTAACAACTTATGCCAAAGGTCAAACGCAACACACTACAAATATTAACAAACACACATTTTATTTGGAAAAAAACTTCCTAGCTTTGTTTACGTACACTTTTAAGCAGCATTTACGTTGTGATTGAAAATTTTTGAAACACTTGTGCAAGCAGTCAGGTTTACATTTGACAAACTGTTTCAATTTGTATTCTTTTTCGCAGTTTGTGGTATAGTTTTTTGGAGCATAGCTGGTTAGGTAGAATTGAAATCAAGTGGATGTAAAATTTGGGGAAATATTTTTTTTCCAAGGCTTTGTAGTCAAGCGAAATTTGATTTACAAACTAAGTCGTTTTGAGACCAAGATTTTTTAAAACGGCGGAAGCGGAAATTAGTCAGACGATGCCACTTCTCGTCTTTTTTACAAAGTGAAAGAAAATAATCCGAATAATTGACCTTTCTATAGTTGTTGTCATAACTTGTTGTTGTTTTAAATAAAAATAATAACTAAACAATTTTCTTCCTCCATATTTTTATGTTTGTGACCTGCTCAGAACTAGCTGTCAAATTAGTGACTGTACTTGAGGTTGATTAAATGAACACATTTAAAAACGTCTTCTGTGTTTTAGATTTGCAGATTGGCGCAGGAAGATATCAATATTTTCGACCTCTTCTTCGTTTTTGCAACTTTCATTTGCATAGTCTCAGCAAACTCCATGTGCTTCACTCATCGAGAAATGTTTCTCTGGCCTTGTCCTCAAATTATGGGAGCAGGTATCGAAGCACTCATTTCTCTTACAGCTTTATCATGTTCTAATATTCATGTAAAATGTGATCTGGTCAGCTAGTGAAGATGCTTTTAGCGCACCGCAGTTGTTTAGGCGCGACTACCAACACCAGGCGGCTAAATTTATGAAAATTTTGCACATGCACTTCCCAACTGCCTTGTAATAAAACTTTCTTAAGTTATTAATGGCAGTTAAGAGTATGCTCGGCCTAGTCAGATGCATCATCCGGACAATGCTTCCGGTGCCTTTTGCGGACTCTGCATTACTTATGATGATGCAGAGGTGGTAAATGAACTTTACCATTGGTGTCAGTGCCTACCCACCATTTCTATCCGAATAAGTGAATTTTTTATATATAAATTACAAATAAAATATATACAGGCAAACATGTTGGTCACCCCTCTTACTTAGTTATTCAACAGTCTTCCTGGCAACTATTTTGAAACCGATTTTCTATATATCGAAAGACTAATTCAAAGATCTCCTAACGAGTAGATCTAAACGTTATTCTGTTTGTCTTTTCTTATTAGGTTTTCTGAAAATTAAACAAACTTAAAAAAGTGAAGGTAAAAATTAAGAGAAACTTGTATTAAAAAAGTAAAAAAATTAATTACAAAATACAGCAGGCCAAAAAAATTTAAACAATGTTATGTTGACTTAAATATTATAGCCGATTTCTTAATTATGAAAAACCATTGTTGAGGCTTTCATATACTCCCACACAGACAGATATATTACATCAATTTATTGTTTTACCGAGGCTCGAAAATGTCCAAAACACGTCACCTTCGGTATCTTTAAACCTAAGTTGCTCGAAAACTAGAGCCAATTCAATATCTCGACGGTCAGATTCGGATTATACGGGAAAAATGCTATAAGAATTGCCTACATTATTTTACGCAACAGAATTTTGTTGGGTAGTGTAATAAATTAAGTTTTTTAAGACTGAATGATATTAAGAATGCTTTTTACCAATAAAATATAAAAATTTAAATTAATTTAAAAAAAGAAAATGATAATTAAAAAAAGTTAAATACGTTCCGAAATAATAAATGAAACAAAAAAAAAATATTTTTAAAATATTATAATAAAAAACTTAAAAGAAAATTAAGCAAAAGAGCAAAATAAAACTTAGAAAAATATGTTCCTAAAAAACTAACTGAAATATTATTTTTTTAACAATTTAACAAATTTTAAAAATTAAAGGAAAGGAAATTATAAAAAAAGACAAATTTTAGTTAGCTTAAAAATTTTAGAAAAAATATATTTTAAAAATTATATCAAATACAAGTCAGGTTTTTTTTCTTAAAACAATAAAATCTAAAAATTAAATTAAAAAAAGCAAAAAAAAAAATTAACTTCTAGAAATTTAATTAAATTCAAAAAGATATAGTATGTATAAATTAAGTAAAAAAAAACCTGAACCTCGCGACTGCTGAAGCAGCGCAAGCAAAAAGATACAAACGATTTTTATAACTTTTTTCTTTTTTGCAAGACTTTCGTGTAAACCAAATCTTTCAAATCAAAATAACAAAAAGCATCATAAAATCAACGCACTTATTAAATTCTGTCCCATGTATTTGCTTTGAAGAAAAACTGCCTGATTATAAAAACAAAATAAGTAAAAGAAATTGACTACACATAGCATGAAAGACTTAGGAAAACCATCTGAGCACAAATGGATTTTAATTTTCCGATTTTCCCTTCTGTGCCATTACTATTTCGCATTCTTTACCCTTCTTATATTCATGTCATTGTTCTTTCGAATTTTCCACTTCTTTTGCTTGTTGGTAATTAAGAACTCGATGGAACTGCAAATTGTAATGTCAGCAAAGATGACAAAAAATTTTATATGTATGTATGTATGTACGTATGAAAGTGGTAAGTGAAAAGAAACTTTCTGATGGAAGTTACACATTCGTAAACATCAGTTCTATAGGACGGCCTACAACGACAAATTGTATTTCATGTGAAACAGAAATGAAAACGTAATATGCGGCAACCAATTTCGCAAGGATAAATTTATTGCTTTCTTGAAAAGTTATTGCGAATTAACAATTTTTTATTTACTCGAGTTTTATGAAAAGAAAATATCAAGAAATTAATGCAAGGCAAAGGAGTAATAAAATAAAAAATCGGTAACAATAAAGCAACATACCTTGATGGCGACATTGCTCCACTAGTCATGAGCAAGTGAAAGACTTTTCATAATGTTGAAAACAGGCAACATTTACTTGCAGCTTCAGCTTAAGAACTTAATCATTTTTCAACCGATTACTAGCTTCATAAAACTCATAAAAAATATATACATATATAAAAGCGATTCAGTAGAAAATGTTCAAGTATACAGTTGCATATTAAGGCGCTTATTAAGTCGATGTTAAGGCGCTTTTTTATGCATGTTTGATTCTGCACTTTACAAAGATTTACTCGCACATCGAGTCAGAGGCAATATTCAAATTGAAAGCAAATTTATTGATGCGTATTTTCGCGATAAAAGCACGCTTGCCTTCCGCATAGCGCGTAATACACGCAAATACATATGTATGTACTATGTATGTTGAAATAGTATGTGCATGTATGTATGTGTGTCTGTGTTGGTGAGTGTACCAGCCGCGCATGCATTTTCACCTTCAAGTTAAGGCACTTTGATGAATGCATTGATTTCGCATGTCACCTCACCAATGACGGCAATGCCAACGATGCCGGTAGTAGAGGCTCAATTGGATGACAGTTGCCAACGCGGCTGAAGTCTTAATTTACAAAATCATACACACAAATATATCTACTATATCATGGCTTACTGCTTTGCTTATATGTATGTAACTATGCAATATACTATACTACCGACACAAGCATGTGAACCACGTCAAGGACTGCCAGGCGTATTAAAACGCTTAAAAGGACATTACATTGATTGCAGCTGCACGCAAATTTATGTATTTGTGTTCATACATAGTACGTACATATTTACATTTGTATGTATGTGCGACTACTGTAAGTACAACGGCCACAGTTGAATGAATGTGCGGTGCTGAAAATATTGCTCAATGATTGTTGAAAGTACGATTGGCGGAAATGGCACTGAGTGACGAATGACCAGATAAAGGAGAAGTGTAGTAGTAGTAGTAGTAGTACTAGTAGCAGCAGCAACAACAGCATCATCGGCTGAGTCAGCGTCGCTTGGTGACTGTTGTGTCGGTTGTGTCGGTTGTGCTGCTGATGTGCAAGTGGAACTAACAGCAGCGACAATTTTCGTCGGCATTGACTATTCAGCAGATTTTGTAATATTTCATTGCCATCAATGATATTCGATTTTTAATTAATGCTACCTTAATTGTAAGTACTCTTAATGCGAATCGGCGAGAGAATCTTTTAAGTTTTCTACTTTTTATTATGTGACAAGTTATGTAAAAATATGCAGACTTCGATTGTGTGCTGTAGAAATTAAAATTGTTATGAAGGATATTTCAAGTTTTTTACGTATGAGTTTTTTTCTAATTTGCAAATACATATCTATTCATATGACTTTGATAATGAATTTTAATAAGACATTAAAAACCTTAACTAAGTCATTTTAATGAGACGAAAATTGTCGCTTAAGAGCCAGCATATAATTTACAGTACTGTTATCACATGAAAAGCTCTTCAACATTTCAACAACTCTGCCTAATAGGACATTAAAAAGACCACAACCGAAATCTAGAGACAGAATTACTTTCTACAGCAAATAAATCAAAGTATTCGTTAGTTAAAACAGTGTGTAAAAACTTCAAATTTCTTATTACATCTTAAAAAGTTGGTATCCGCATTATACTGGAGCTTACTTTTATATACCTGAGTTTTACAGAATAAGTTTTTTTCTAAATATCTAAAATTTTTTTTTAATAATTCAAAATTTTTTCTAAGTCGATGGTTCTATGGAATTGTGAACAAGGTCTTAATAAGTTAAAATTTTAATTCAATTTACTTACATAAACAGTATGAGATAAACTTGGTTTTTCAACTAAAATAAAAATTATTTTTCTTAGATTTATTTTAGGAATATGCGTTTTCAAGAATAATGCTCACCTCATTTAA